TATTAATTATGGATACCGGGAATAAACTTATATTTACAGACACAGTCCTGTGGGTGATCAGGTAATAGCTTATTGTTGGATTAATTAAGCATGTTTTTCTAGTATACTTTAATGTGCTTAGTTTGGAACTGTGGGTTTTGACACTGATACTGTTAGTACTTAATCAATGGTTGGATTTATTAAAGCATGATGGTTAATCTATTCTAACATGGTTAGGTTGGAATTGTTGGTTTTGGCATTTATAAATTATTTAAATGTGTGGAATAGAGTAATTAATATTGATATTTATGTTTCCAATGTTAATCAATTTGTTGGGACTATATAAGAACGGTTGTTAATACATTCTGATATGCTTGATATGGACTCGTTGATATTGTTATGTACTTGTATATGCTTTATCAACTATTGGACGGATTGGATTGTATATACCGGTATGGGACGGTGATATACTAGGTTTGGATTAGCTCAAATTGCTAAGTCCTACCTATTTTGGAGTAAGGGCACGGGTTATAAAATACAATCCTCCTTATATATATAAGTCGGTACGGTTGAATACGCCGAGTGACTTACTGGATTTCTTGTGGATGGTTAGAAACGGAGTTTAGATATATTTTTATGTTACCGTGTCATGAGCTTGAGTCTCAGTGTCGACGGTTAGGGTGCGTATATGCAGTTGGATGTGTAGCTGACTATGAAGGTTGAGGTATACCCTGTTTAGGTTTAGGTACTCATGCCCACTCAGGTGCGTATTGTGTGATGCCTTCTATCCAGGTTGAGACCCCCTTCTTGGCCTAGCGAGAGTCCAGTAGTGTGGATATATTTATGTACGGATTATTAGTTATTGTTGAACTATTTAGTATGTACATGCGTATCGAGTCTCTGCTTGGATTGTAATAGGATAGAACTTGTTCGTGGGCCTGACCCACTCTTATTTTTTAGGTGTACGTCAGTTCCAGGCTTGAGCTTGTTCGTGCTGAGCAGAGACGATCTTCCATTCTACCGACGATGTAGGTTTTCTTTCCAGATATTGGATTTGGATTTAATCTTTCATTTTACTTTCATTCAGTGTGAGATTTTTATTAGGGGTCCACTAGAGATGGATTCCCGAGTTGTTCAACTTATGGATATTTGGTTTATCAAATTTAAGTATTTAATTATATAAGGATTATCTTTTAGTTTTCTTTTCAGCTTTAAACTTTCATTTCTTAATTCATTTTGTATTCCGTGTTCGTTATAAAATATTAATTGTTTTATATTCCCTCGGGTTTGGGCCTGGGCCTGATCAATCCGTGTCTCGGGTCCGAGGGGTATTACACAAGTTGACAGGTGTGACGAGCACTTTTGATATCACATGATGAGTGACAACATCTTGAGAGCGAGCCAAATTGAAAATTTGTGATGAGCGACAACAATATCTTGACAGTAAGCCAAGTTGATTAATTGCGACTAGTCATTTTGATATCTTGTGACGAGCACACTTTGCCATTTTGCATACTCTGAGGATTTTTTTTTTTTTGTTTAGCGTTGTACTGAACTTAAAATAAAATTCTAAATTACCTACGTACCCTCAAAAGAGGGATCAAGTTATCACGTAGTTCAATAGAGACATGAGTTTTTTTGAAAAAAATTTATACTCGTGTCACAAAGTTTTTTTTTTTTGGTAAACAGTTTATACTTATGTCAAAGAGTTCTTGATTTTTTTTTTCTTCAGGTGGACAATTTATACTCGTGCCAAGGAGTGTTGTTTTTTTCTTCTTCAGATAGACAGTTTATACTTATATCAAGGAGTGTCAATTTTTTTTTTCCAGGTAGACAGTTTAAGCTCGTGTCAAGGAGTGTCATTTTTTTATTTATTTGGGAGACAGTTTAAACTCGTATCAAGGAGTTCTTAATTTTTTTTCTTTTCTAGGTAGACAATTTAAACTCGTGTCAAGGAGTGTCATTTTTTTCTTTTCAGGTAGACAGTTTAAACTCGTATCAAGGAGTTCTTGATTTTTTTTTCAAGTAGACAGTTTAAACTCGTGTCAAGGAGTTTTTGATTTGTTTTTCAAGTAGACAGTTTATACTCGTGCCAAGGAGTGTAATTTTTTTTTCAAGTTGACAGTTTATATTCGTGCCAGGGAGTATCATCGACAGTTTAGGCTCATATCTGGGAGCACTTCAAATTTAATTATTTTTCAACTTTGCAAGAATCAGATGACAATCCAAGCTCATACTGGAGGGCATGGACTATCTCGTCATCACTTTGAGGATTTTCTTCTTGGTTTCCTTGACTTAATGCCTCTTGTGATTTTGCACTTTCGGTTGAAGTCATTGTTGTAACATGGTGCGTTTTTTGATGCAAGTCTTTCGAGATATGCTTATAATGAAAGATGAAGCTATTTCGTCATCCGAGTTAGGAAGTATATTGTCTTATTCTTTGGACTCACTTTTCTCATCTTCTTGAAGGTTGTCGGATATATCAGGAACATCTTCTCTAGTACCATGATTTTCCATGCTAAGCTCCATGTCGTGGGCTCAAGTAATAAGCTCTTCAAATGTCGGAGGCTTAATCCCTTGTAGGATGTAAAGAAGCTCCCAGCGCATGCCTTACATACATGTTTCAACTGTAAAAATTTCAGACAAATTAACGATCCTTGCAGTCAAGACTTAGAGCTCGCCAACGGTTGATGTAGTTAACCACAGGTTCACCCTTCATCTGTTTTGTATTTGTAAGCTCCAGCATACTTATAATACGACGAGTGCTATAGAAACGGTTGAGAAATTCTCGTTCCATCTGCTCCCAACTGTCAATACCTCTAGCTTTGAAGTCTGTGTACCAATCAAATGCATTCCCTTTGAGGGAACGAACGAATTGCTTGACAAGGAGATCTCTATTTGTACCAGCATTGCCGCAAGTTTCTACAAAGTGTGCGACATGTTGCTTGGGATTTCTTTTTCCGTCAAACTGTTGAAGCTTTGGAGGTTGATACCCAACCGGCATTTTTAAGATGTCAATTCTTTCTGTGTAAGGCTTTGAGTACATGCGAGCACTTTGAGGAATGCCACTGTATTGTTTTCTTATGCAATTCACTATCATGTCTTGAAGTTGTTGGACAGAAAGTAAGGTAGCAGAGGCAGCATCAATTGTTGGATTGGCGGACACGTCATTTTGATCATCAATTGGAGTATTCTCTAGCATGCAATTAGAATAAGGAATTCGGCCTTTGCTTGACTCAGCATTGTCGTCACGCAATTTTAACTTTTCTGTCAGCGAGGCAATTTTTAGATCTTGCTCCTTGAAAGAGTGTTGTAATTTTTCGATTGCACAGGCCATAGTTATCAATTGCTCTTCATACGAAGTAGTACTCGTCATCATGACTTGCATAGTGATGGAGTCAGAAAAAATCTTTGGCCTTGGGTGGACCAGCCTTGAACTTGTGACTGGAGCAACTTTTGAGGTTGTAAGAACCTTCATTTTTGCCCCTAGTGAGGTGGAACTTGAACTTGTGATTGGAGCAACCTTTGAGGTTGTAGGAAACTTCCTCCTTGCCCCCAGCGGGGTGGAACTTGAACTTGTGACTGGAGCAACCTTTGAGGTTGTAGAAATCTTCATTCTTGCCCCAAGCGAGGTGAAGGAGGTATGAGTTTGAGTTGTTACTTTGATAGATTTGACAGAATTGACTCTCATCGCATCGTGCTGTCTTTTGGCAGGAACGGATGATTTGACCATACTCCACATCATTGAACTTGCAAAGGTGTTTGTACCACTTGATGAAGTTGCAACCTTCTTGCCACCTTTTGTGATTGTATTGATGTTGTGCGTCATGACTGCGATGTCTTTAGTGGTATTCTTGTTCTTCGTCTGAATCTTATTGGACGTCATAGAATCTGACGATGAATTTGTTGAGGATTTGATGTAAGAGAAAGAGATAAGAGGCAGAGGATGTCCCACTGGGCGTGCCAGAAATTTGTACACACAAATTTTGTACTCTGCAATAAAGACAAAATATGGGCAAAATAATAATTTATTAAATCATAAATATTTGGAGTACAATCCTTTGTGATATCTTTTACAAAAAGAATGGTCCTCTGATTTGATCTCCTTTTTGGTTGGTTGAATCCAAGGGCTGCACGAGCTTGATCTTGAATCACCGTGGAATTTGGATGAAGAACGGCACGTCTTTGGATGTGCTTGTTGTTGATCACCATGGAATTTGATGAAGAACGGCATATCTTTGGATGTACTTAATGTTCTTCGTCTTCAGAGAGGAGAGAATTTGTTGAATTTGGTGAAGAACGGCACGACTTTGGATGTGCTTGGTGTTCTTCGCTTTTAAGTTTGCTCTCAGGATATCTGAATTCTGAATTTCTGAGTCTCTGAATTTCTGGACTCTGAATTTTTTGTCCCCCTCCTTCTTCCTCCAGGCCTTTATTTATAGGCTTCTTGGGTTGATAGGATGATGACACGTGTCATCTCCTGATAAGGTAAAATTATAACTGGGCCGGACCGGTTATATTATGAGAATTATCCTTAAAAATAATTATTCAAAATATATTTTATTAGGAATAATTATCTGTTTATTTAATCATCTGGGTTGGGCTAAGTAAATAATTTAAATGGACTAAGTTTGGGCCAATTAAATAACTTAACTAAACATTAAGCCTATAATGGATCAATTTGTCAAAACCAAAGCCCACTAAATTTTTAGTGTCTACAGGTGGCGATGGAGTGGTGATGACGGGGTGAAAGGCAATGGAGGTGGTAGTGATGGTGGAAGGTAGTGGTGGTAAAAGGTAATGGTAGTGCTGTTGACGGTGATGGTTTATTGATTTTTTGGGAATTTAATTTTTATTTTTTTAAAAAATATTTGGGAATAGAATTGTCATTACACAGGTTTAGTTGTGAAATGAATTTTCATTATAATGAAATGACCATTTCCACTTTATATTTCATATCAAACAAAGAAATAGTTAGAATATTCATTCCATTCCATTTCCGTACACCAAATGCACTTAAAATTCTTGCCGTGAAAAAAGAAAAAGAAAAAAGAAATCCAAAAAAATGGCAATTGCAACTGATTTTAAGCATGCAAAGGTCAATTGAAGGTTTCACGAGGATCCCCGTATAATTTTTATTTTTATATTCCCTTTTCCTTTTCATATCTATTCTTGTATTTTTGTTATTATTTTATTTTTTTTTGCCAAACCAAAGATCAGATTTTTTTTTTATTTTTTTGAAAAAAATAAATCCCTGTGTTCTATTTATCTTTCCTTTTCTTTCTCCCAATCTGCCTTTCCTTCCTTCTATCCTTTGTTTGTGTTTGTGGTTTTTTTCTTTTTTATCCACTCTCTCAGCCAAACACCTCCATATCTGCTTCTATACCCTTCTTACATTCTCTATTTCCCTTCCGTTTAAAATGCAGCATTGACGACAGCGACGTGAGAATCTAGCGACGAAGGCCTGGCGAGTGACCACGCGACCCCTTCAATCGGTTCCGGCGAAGGCAAGGCAATGCTAAAACCCTAATCCTAAAATCCACAGGTGAGGGGTTTGCTTGACGTTTAAATGGTGTTATGCTATTATGGTTGCTGTTGTGGCAATTTCAAGGGTTAGGCATGTCCCCTCAATCATCAGGTAACTGACTTCTCTTATTCTACTTCTTATTTTTAAATTTTGATGATGTATTATTTAGCAATTAGGGTCTGCATGCTTTTTCTTTTTATTAGCAATTAGTCATTATGAAATTGAGTCAAGTTTTTTAGCTTCAAATTCTTTTACTTTCTGTTATTATATTATTCTGATTTGATGAATGGGAATGAAAATGCTTGTGAATATTTAAGTCTTAAGTTTTCAAAAATTTCAGAAGTTCCTTAACGAAGTTTAAATTTTGTTCTTTTAAAATAGGTTCACTCCCCTCAAGGGTGAAGCTAATTGGAATGAGTGGCGTCGGTGGCGGTATAAGTAATGTAAGTTGTTTTGTGTCTATATTTTATTTTTTCTTTCATTTTTTACTTGAACAAATTTAAGGTCATTTTTATAAATTTATGTAACTGTTAATAAAGACACGACAATATTGACTACAAGCTTTTGATAGTTTTAGAAGTTGGGTTGCAAAAGTTTAATAGTATAGGAAGTTTTTGCAATTAGCTGTCTATGGGATAACTTAGTTGGCTTTGGTTATGCCACATAATATATGATGATTTGTGACAGAACAAGCTATATAAATAAGATAACAACAATTTGATTCCACAAAGTCTAGAACACAAACTTAATTTACATCAAATGATAATACGTTGAAATTTAATTTTTGCAATTCACTCTTCTTTCTGCCCTCTCTTAAATATTGAGTCATGTGGGAAAAAAGTCTAAAAATCCCCATAAGGTTGGGGGTTAAGATTAGTATTAGAGTGATATTTGCTCTTTTAGTTGAAGGGTGTTTATTTCAAAGGATTCCATGTAATTTTTCTTCTTCCGGTTACCTTATTCTAGTTCAAGGGATTCCATATATAACTAGTTTCACATAAAATCCCAAATTTATTCCTCTTTTTGTTTGTTTTTTTTTTTTTTCAATTAATAAAATCACTAATTCTGAATTAACAAATCCTAAGTCCAACAAAAAATTAATAAATCAAGAAAAAACTTCACAACATGCATAAAAAATGAAAAAAAAAAAAATTCATAAAATTGACTTTTAGAAGGAAACAAATCCTAACCCAACATATAACAAAATAACATTAAACTGCTTCAATTTGTTTATATAATTAAATTACTTTATTATTTTATAATTTTGATTATTAGTCATGTGCAATGCATGTGCACATTTAACTAGTACTTATAAAAGGGTGGGTGTGTGTATATATATATATATAGGCTGGCTGCTGCTTGAAGAATGAACTCCAAACGTAGTACTCATGGCCCAAAATTTCAAGTTCTAAGGAAACAAAATGGTCATATTGGGAGACATATTTGTATTGCAACATTGTCTTCCAATCTTCTCCGACTACCACGACCTCATAGTTGGGTTGTGGTCACATGCATTAGAATTTAAAAAAAATTGATGACGAGGTTGTCACATTCAGTTGAATTTGTGATGGTGGATATTTTTGCTTCATAGATGCACATACACAGACCCACAGAAGGTTGTGATTGTAAGTGCTACACACTTACTCTCTCTCTCTCTCTCTCTCTCTCCCTCTCTCTCTTTAATATTCTCTAATCAAACCCTTAGTCAGTCTTTCTCTCTCTCTAAACCTCCCCCTATTCCATCTCTCTTAAACTCTATAAATTTAAAGGTAACTTTATGAATATATTGAGTATAAATGTATTATGGATATGTTGAAGTGAGGAGGGAGAGTGAAGAGAAGAAGTGTATGAATATATATATATATATTTAATTAAAGAATTCATATATGCTAAATAGAGGGGACATCAGTCTAATTTTTTCTATTATTAATTACTCTTGTTATTTATGCTGCTTCTTTTCCCCCTTTTCTTCACCTAAAGGAGGAACTCATATTAGTTCATGACCGTTCAATCTTCACTTATTAATAACCCAATTGAAACATTTTAATTGTGATATTGCTTATTTGCTTTGAGATGCATGTCACCTGATGATAATGTAAAAAGGCAATTCGGATAACCATTACACAAGCCTCGTAAACTTTCTTTTTATGTAAGGTCATTAAATAATGGTTGTCTCCTCGATTTGGGGCATTAAGAAAGGTGGATTGTGCAGAGTTGCAGACATGACCTTTTTGCTTTATTTAGACATGGTGGCTGCCCTCAAATGTTAAAAAATATGAAGTCAAAGAAGTATTTGAATAAGTATAAATGGACTTGCAAACAGTATTATTAATTTCATCTTTTTGTGCTGTTTAGAAGGTCACCAGGAAAGCTATTTTTCTTATCCAAGTCACTAAACCACTCGAGTTACTATGTTATGTAATTTGTTATTATTATTATTATTTTTTGATAAGTAATAGTCGATTATAAAAGTGTTCAAAAGGGGAACGCGTCCCTAATACAAAAAACGAAAGCTGAACCTAAGGACCTATAGAGTCCAAAAGATCAATTAAGTCATCAGTAGAGGAGCAAACGCTTCCTTTCACATAACAAAAATAGAGCGAGAATATGAAGTTTCAAGGTCGCCAAAGGCGATTCCTTTCCTTCGAAAATTCTACTATTCCTCTCTTTCCATATGCACCACCAAACACAGTGTGGAACTATCCTCCAATATGTTATGTAAGTTGTTATTACAAAGCAATGAACATTGGTTTCACAACGATATATCGTTATTCAGATGCTTCATTTACAAAATGGCATCTTTTCTCCAAACTTTACATTTTGGGGGTATAGTCAAAATTAGCACCTGATTGCATAGTTGAAATGACCCGCTCATATATTGCAACTAAGCTCAAAGAAGCAAAAATGAAAGAAAGGGATTAGCAACATAAACAGATCTAGATTGCGGACTGGATTGCAAATGTCGATGATGTAGCAATTTAAGGATGTGAGATTCTTTCTTCTTCTTCTTCTTCTTTTTAAATTTTTATTTTTTTATTTTTGATAAGTAATTTAAGGATGTGGGATGTAACGGGAATTACGCAAGTATCGGAAGTTACAGTTGTGAAATTTTATCAACCTATGGATTGAACAAGTTAATATGAAACTTTTAACTTCAGAATCTAATAAGTATTTGGTTTTTGATATATATATATATATAGTTTAGTGATTTTGATGATTAATTGAAGGTTGTTTAATATGAATTCTGGCTACATATTTATTTTAAGCTTTAAAACATACTAATTTGGAGTTTTCACTTAACTTATATGTCTATATGTACTAATTTGGAGTTTTCACTTAATATGAATCTAGGTATCTCTAGACGTAGTGAATATAGTGATGTGATGTTTTTTAAATCTTAAATATAAATAAATAAATTGTTTGATTCAAGATTTAGCATTTTGTTTGTTTTTGTTTTTAAGTATGTTTGGTAGATTTAAGTTTTTCTTCGCTTTAGAATTGACAGAGAGAGATTTGGAAAAATAAAAAAGAAAAGGGGCTTGGCTGGGTAGACTGTGCACATTATTGGGTCATTTTATGCTTACTCAGCCGAGTCTGTTTTGATTCTAATTCTCATCAATAAATAGGTGACTTGGCCTAGTCTCAAAACCATGGCCACGTAAGATTTAAAGAAATCACAAAGATGACGATAAATATGGTAATTCCTTCGCTACAAGATTATAATCTTCTTTAATAGGTGAAAAGATTATGAGAAGTGAATATTGGCATTGGGAAGTCAAAGATACTATATAATACTCTTAGGTTGAGTTTGGTTCTCCAAAATATATAGTTCTGAAAGGAGATAGGATTTTTCAAATATTTGGGCGCAATAATGGCTCAGATAAGGATAGTTACTTCAGTGGGTTTCCATGTCACTTGTATGATGAACTTGACAAAAACACCTGTCAGGTAAGTTTTGCGTAGCTGGCACATTGGAATATATGAAAAATCCGAGCCAGTGTTATAAACGCCTCTCCCCTTCTCCTCATTATGCTATCTCAGAGAGAGAGAGAGAGAGAGAGAGAGAGAGATTGTGCTGTGTCCCTGCCGCCTTACCTACAACTTGCTGTCAATTTGTTCACCGGTGTGTACCACCTCCTCTTGTGCGTCATTTGTTTGATTCAAGTCCTATAAATTTGAGTTGCTTTTGGGAAAGATCACTTTGATCTCCTTTGATTTCAATATTTATATCCAGATCGGAAAATTAGCATGTATGTATATAGTTGATATAATTAGATTGCACATTGTAGTGAAATTTACTAAGGGTTTTGAAATTTATAGACTGCTATATATATATATATGTCTATATATATTTTTTTTCAATTGAATGATGTAGTATGTATGTCTAAAATGGAAACTAAAAGCTCTGTGTATTTTTATTTATTAATCGATGGGAGTGATTGAGATTTAGTGGGGTTTGGAGGATATAGATCTTGTGCATGTGTCTTGTCTTTCTTAATGTCCACATCTGAAAATTAGCATGTATGTATATAGCTGATATAATCAGAATTCACATTGTAGTGAAATTTTCAAAAGATTTTAAAATTTGTAAACTAGTTTTTTTTTTTTTTTGTTTCACTTCAATTCTATTAGATGGTATGAATTATAAGGCTTTGTGTATTTTTATTTATTTATTTAGTCTTATAGTATCAGTGGGAGTGATTGAGATCTTGTGGGGTTTGGAGGATATAGATATTGTGCACGTGTCTTATGTTTGACTGTCTTCTTCTTAAAGGAGTAACTTTTTCAGGGAAGTGATCAAGGACTTCTTGTTCACAAATAACTCATTTACGGTTGAAAGGATTAATTGCAATGACCTTTTGGCCACAAATTCAATATATGATTTTGAAGTAAGGATTCATTGCTTGGTGCAATGATAGGAACTCGGTTGCCAAGTGTGAGAATGAAGGTTTCATAAAGTGCTCTTATCCGGGTGCGAAGCGTGAAGGTCTTATCAACCAAGCTGTTCGAGACAGACTTAGAGCATGAGGATAGTCACTTTGTGCAGAATGTATAATGTTATGGTTGTTCGTAGTCCACTCTTCCCAATTCTCACAATTAATGGGAGCCAACATTTGATTACGGTTTTTGTTATATCTATATGGGGATTATGTACTTACCACCAAAAAAAAAAAAATGAAAAAATGGGATTATGAACAAGGTATATGGAAAAAATAAAAATATGGTATATTTGAGCTTGGCTTGAAAAACCTTCTTCAAGCTCTTAGCCTAACTGAGCTGTAGGTGAACTCAAAACATAAGGTTAAAATGTGATCAGTTGTTGGCAAATGGATTGGTTTACAAAGCTTGTGATTCTGTGTCATTTTTTTAATTCTAGTGAATCTTAATCAGGATAATTAAGGATACATTTAGTTCTTTCTTCTCAGGGAAATGGATGACAATT